CCCCCCTCCTTGACCAAGAAAAGAAGTATGGTCTAAGATTGGACTCGGTATTTAAGTATGGTATGAGATTGGACTCAGTATTTAGGAATGGTCCGAGGTTATTTAAGTATGGTATGAGATTGGACTCAGTATTTAGGAATGGTCCGAGGCCGATTTGCATCCAGAGTGTTAAGGATGGTCCTGCAAAAAAAAAACAGAAAAGGATGGTCCGCAGATTGGATCCATGGTCACGCTTTTCTTTGGATCCAGTATCTCTAAGGGTGGGTCCTTTCCCGCACTCCCCCCCCCACAAAAAAAAAAGGATGGTCCAAGGTATATTCTGTGGTCTGACCGCAATTAATATCTGTCTTCATATTCTCCACTCTGCCCGTTTTATACGTCGTTTGAATTTCCTTGCAACTGCCCTTCAGCTTGATGCTGATCTTCCCCACCTACGCCCAGAGGATTGTAATTATACCACGGAAAGAGGTGTGTTTCCATTGCTGTCCTACAAGTAGCATCGAGGGACCACCAACTTGGAACTACACGATGCTCAAGCAGGCGAGCGGTTTCACCATCAGTCTCACATCTCTGCCGGCGTTGTGCATGGACCTCATCATTACATGGCCGTTGTACCTGCCTGTGACGACCGGGAGGTGTGGGGCAACGGCGTCGTGGTCCATGCCGTGACTGATGTTACTGGTGATCTGCGTATTGATGTCGCTGTCTTTCCGCACCAAACTGTCCGCAAATTCCGCAATCTCTTTTATGTCGACGAAAGATCAAGAAAGATCATTCGTCTGGCACCATCCTGCAGCAGGACAGTGTACTTTCTACAAAACACTGTTACACTCGTGGCTGTAGCCGCTGCCGTCTTTGTCACAATCATGACAACGACATGGTTGCTGCATTCAAGTGTGTAGAGGACTGACCGTCTGTTCCCAACTGCAGGCACCCTCCGCATCCAGACACTATATGTCCATTTTGCGACCGTGGGCGGGATACTGAACACATGGTCTTTCGTGGTGCCCGTTCCTCCTCCATGTCGGCCTGCATTCGGCATGCCATTGGCCGGGAGGGTATGGTGGGCAGGCTCAATGCCAGCCGTCGTGACGATGGTTCTACTGACGATGCTCCTTAACCTTGTCTTTACAATGTATATCGTCTCAGACTGGGTTTTGAGCATTATATATCTTATTCTTTCCTTTGCTTTCATCGGCATTCAGCACTCCTTGCTTTCCCTTTTCTTTTTTTTTAATGTGGTCCTATGGACCACGGATCAGATATTAAACTGATGATCAGAAGAACAGATACTACTACACTTGATCTATCTATTATTAGCCAAAAGGCTGAGTCCATGTTTTTCCTTTCACTTTGTCTTTCTTTGCTTTGTCTACTCTCCACCTCTCTTCTCTGTTGTTTATCCCCTCCCCCTTTACGGTGCCTCTTTCTCACGGCGTACAAGTGGGCCACCATGGCACACGGGGATGCGGGAAGCTCACACTCGAACTTCATCAACTCGGCGAGTCTTGTACGTGAGAGGCT